AGGAAAAAGGAGAAAGTTAAGAAGGGAGATGGGGAGTGCTGGGAGGAGGAACTATAATTTTATTTATTTATTTATTTGAGATGGAGTCTTGCTCTGTCGCCCAGGTTGGAGTGCAGTGGCTTGATCTTGGCTCACCGCGACCTCTGCCTCCTGAGTAGCTGAGATTACAGGTGCGCCCCACCATGACCAGCTAATTTTTGCATTTTTAGTAGACGCGAGGTTTCACCATCTTGACCAGGCTGGTCTAGAACTCTTGACCTCGTGATCCATCCACCTCAGCCTCCCAAAGTACTGAGATTACAGGCGTGAACCACCTCACGTGGCTGGAACTATAATTTTAAATATGATGGTCACTGTAGGCCTTTTGGAAAAGGTAACAATTAAGCAAAGACTTGAAGGAGAAGAAGGATAAGTTATCTGGGGAAAGTGTTCCGGGCAGAGTAAACAGCCAAGTACAAAGAACCTGAGGCAGGAAAACTAAAGAAAGAAGAGAATAGTAGGAAATAAAGACATAAAGGTAACACAGATCCAGATAGTTTAGGATCTTTCTATTAAGCATCTACTGCTATGTAATAAATTGTCCTAAAATTTGTTTATTGACCACAATACACAGGACTTCAAGAGTGGCTTGGCTTGGGGGTTCTGGCTGTGGGTCCCAAGAGGCTGCAGTTTCTGAAACCTGTGCCTGAAGATTCTTCCAAGGCGGTTCACTCACATGGTTGGCAAATTGGTGCTAGTTGTTGATGGAGGAAGGAGAGATGAGGAGAGGGGAAGGACTTCGATTCTATTTGTGTGGGTCTATCCACCTGCTGTTTTTGTTTTTTTTTAAAGGCTAGTGAAGTAAAGGAGTGGGAGTTGAGAAGGAAGAAATTCGTAACTAGTTGTGATCAATTGGTTGTAAACACCACTTCACTCAGACCAGCCTCCACATGCAGTTTGAGTATCCTCCTGATGACAGCTGGCTTACCCTACAGCAACCAATCCAAAAACAGAGCAAGGCAGATACCACGATGCCTTTTATGGCCTGGTCTTGTAAGTCACGTGCTAACGTTTCTACCATATACTACTGATGACACAGTCAGCCCCGGTTCATTATAAAAGAGAACTACTCTGGGGTGTAAATAGCAAGAGGTGAAGGCCATTGGTGGTCATCTTGGTGGCTGGCTATATAACCTTGGTAGGTAATTATAAATCTGTGGCTTTTACTTTGAGGGAAATGGGAAACCAATTAAGGGATCTGAGCAGTGAAATGACAATAATCTGACATATTTCATGAGGATAACTCTGGCTGTTGTGTGAATAGACTGGAGAGGAGCAAGAACATAAGCGGGAGACCATTGAGAAGGCTATTACAGTCCGAGAGAGATGCACGAGGGTCATAACGGTGGAGTCAAGAATTGGTGATATTCTGGATATATTTTGAAGATAGAGATGACAAGATTTGCGGATGGATTGGATGTGGGATATGAGAGAAAGGACTTAAAGATGACTTCTAAGGGGTTTGGAGGAATGGGAATCACAAAAATGAGTTCAACATCGATCTTGCCATAAAGGAGCTTACAACATAGGTGAGACAAGGTGTGTACACAAGTGGCTATACTACCTGGCAGAAAGCACCGTGCTCCATACTAGAGGCACAAATTTAAGTGCCAAGCATAATGAAAAAGTTCTGGAGATGGTTGCACAACAATGTGAGTGTACTTATTGCCACTGAAAAATGGTTAAAACGGTAAATTTTATTTATTTATTTATTTTTATTTATTTATTTAGGTGGAATCTCACTCTGTCATCCAGGCTGGAGTACGGTGGCATGATCTCGGCTCACTGCAGCCTCTGCCTCCCCAGTTCCAGCGATTCTTCAGCCTCAGCCTCCCAAGTAGCTGGGATTACAGGCACGTGCCACCACACCCGGCTAATTTTTGTATTTTTAATAGAGACTGGGTTTCACCATGTTGGTCAGGCTGGACTCGAACTTCTGACCTCAGGTTATCCATCAGCCTCGGCCTCCCAAAGTGCTAGGATTACAGGCGTGAGCCACCACGCCCAGTAGAAACAGAAAATTTTAGGTTATGTACGTTTTACCAGAAGAAAAAAACAGTGCTTAAAAAAAAGCAAAAACAAAAATTCGAGAAGTGCCACTAGAGTTCAGAGCATTAAGAGATTAACCTCAGCTAAGAAAATCAGAGAAGGCTTTGTGTACAGGCAGTCTTTTTCTTTCTTCTTTTCTTTTCTTTTTTTTTGAGACGGAGTCTCGATCTGTCGCCCAGGCTGGAGTGCAGTGGTGCGATCTCGGCTCACTGCAACCTCCGCCTCCAGGGTTCAAGCGATTCTCCTGCCTCTTGAGTAGCTGGGACTACAGGCATGCCCCACCAAGCCAGGCTAATTTTTGTATTTTTAGTAGAGACGGCGGTTTCACCATGTTGGTCAGACTGGTCTCGAACCCCTGCAGGGATTACAGGCGTGAGCCACCACGCCCAGCCACCGACAGTCTTTTCTCGCAGGCAGAGGGAGCAGTTTGAGCAAATTAGCCTAAGGCAGGAAAACTGAGAATGGGCGGGGCACAAGAAGTAGTTCTGATTTGTTAGAAGATAGGGTAGTGTGCCCAAGGGGAGAATAAACAGGAAACTAAGGAGTTTTAAGAAAATTATTTCCTCTCCTCCCTCCAAGTTCCCTAGTTGTGAAGGGAGGATCATAAGTATCTTGCATCACTTGATTTCGTTTGAAATGAAATATTCAGAATCCATCCTCTCACTATATTACCCTTTAAGATTCCATGTTTCTGAAACAAAAATTCCTATGTTGATCTGACAATCTTACAACGCATTTGAAATAAATCCAGGGTAGGACCAGCATTTTATGTTCACAGACTTCCTTTGTTTCCTGTACATCTGCTTTCTTTTTCCTCTATTAATTTTCCATTCACCTCCAAATCTTAACCCCCCGCCATTCTCCCAGGGTCTCCGTTTCTCGTCATCCCTTTCATCTTTCCCTTCTTGGAAACAGATCCGATTCTAATCTCAGTTACTTTGTTTATTAGCCGCCGGATATTGGGATAGTTATCCCCTCTGGGCCTCAGTTTCTTTTGTAAAATTATACCCCCCAAAACAGTGTTTATTTTACAGGGTTGTCAACATTACAACAAAGAACAGGTTACAGGCCTAACACAGTACCTGATCTATAGTAAGAACTCAACATTTTTGCCCCTTCTCCCACCTCTTTTCGGTCCTTTTACTCTCTTCCCCTATTCCTCAACCCCAGAGCCCAATAGGTAAAAACCGTGGGAAAAAACCGTCCTTGAGGCTAAAAGAAGAAACGCTGGAGCTAGGGGTGGAGACTACGAGGTGCTCACTGCGCATGTGCGCCCGCTAGGTCAGCTTCTGGGTTCCAGCTGGGACGCGGGGGGAGGGGGGAAGGTGGGGGCGCGGGTGGAGGTTACGAGGGCCTCATTTTTCTTTTTCTTACTGCCCCCTTCCGGTTTGGGGAGGTGGCGGGACCTTGGCGGCGCCCGGAGCGAGTGCGGCACTCATCGAGGGACGCGCGGCCCAAAAGGTAAGTTGGAAAATGGCGGAGGGGGGAGGAAGAAGGAGGGGCTTTGCAGGGCAGGAGGCTGACCTCCCGGCCAGGGGTGGGAAGGACACTGCCGAGGCCCAGTGGCGCTGTCCGGGCCGGGAGACTGACGGACCGCACCCGGTATCTTTTTGAGCCCCTGATGTGGACGCACTTAGGGTTTCGCGACTCCGGGTTTCTCCAGGGGATGAGCCAGCCAGTGGAGGCGCGTGAGGGAGACGAAGGGACTTCCGTTTCCTTCACCTAGGCTGGGGCCAGGCCGCAGAGCGGAGTTGGCTTTTCCAGATTGGGGCTTGGGCCGCGCCCCCTCCGGGACCCTCCCCTTGGACCGAGCCGATCGCCGCGGGCAGTTGGGGCCGGCTGTCCTGGCGCGGTGGGTACAGCTGTGTAGGCTTTCCCCTCCCCCGCTTTCCCTCCTACCCCTCTCCTTCCCTCCCGTTTCTTTTCCCCTCTACTCTCGGGCCTGCGCTGCTGGGGAGGGCGGGAAGGCCGCGGCTGCCCGGCAGGGGTGGCCCGGCCTGGGCTGCTTGCCCGGGTTCCCCGGACTGTCGACGGAAGGCGTGGGTGGGTGGGTGACCTCAGGCCCGCGGACTGCCTTCCTAAACCCTGTGACATCTAAGGTAAATTGAGGCAGAGAACTTTTTAAATATGATCAAAGGGATTTTCTCCCCATGTGATACCTGTGGCTTGTGTGGAGCAGGGTGGAGTGTGTCTGGAGTGGGCGTAAGAAACCGAAAGAATAAGGGCCAAAGAGCTTCCAGAAGAGGAAATTAGCTAATGATTCTTTCCAATGTGCTTTCCCAGTCACCTTTCCAGCATGTTCTGTAAAACAAAATGTCAGTTTGACTTCGTTTCATCGTTTTAACTCCATAACACTTAAATTGTTTTCTTTTCGGGAAGGGAATTGTTTCTTTTCAAACTAAGTAGTAGCCCTCTCCACCTCCAAAAAAGGAAAAAATGTCAATCAAAGCTTTGTTAAAAAAAAAAAATTCAGATTTTAATAATCTACTACTTTGCTTTCAAATATAATTATGGCAATAGTTCTGTCACAACTATACTTTGATAGTTTGATGACTCACAGAAGTTTACTCTTGGAAGACTGCAGGTTGCGGTAGTGTTTCTTTCTTGTTATCTTTTTTTTTCCCCATAATGTTTATTACAGCCGGCGCAAGAGAACAATGTTACCGACGGCCATCTTAGAATTAAAACGTTTTAGAGTTGGAAGGGATCTTAGTCAAACCCCTGTCCTTTTACAAAAGCAGAAACAACTGCTTAAGGAAGATTTCATGGCTTGCTTAAAACTATTCAACTAGTTAGATTAGAACCCATGTTATCTGGCTTCTTGCCCACCACCCTTTCTGCGCAATTGCTCCATATCGCCTCCAGGCATGAAAATTAAATGTATTCAATTCAACACTCATTTCTGAAGAGTATAATACTTTGTAACAGTGACTGTGTCACCACTTTTCTATGTATTTCAATGTATTTAACATGCGTATGGAGTACTTGAGATTTCTCCCACCCCCACATTCAAGAAGTGGCAACTGTCTAGATTTATACACACACCTTCACAGGTACATATGTATACTTGCATTTGCTTGGATAGTTTCTTGAGGGATACACAATAAAAAGGTTAACAGCAGTTATGGAGAAGAGAGGTAGAAGACTTTTTACTTTGCAGTAGTTCACATGACCTAATGTACTGTTTGAGTTTGTTATAAACTAGTATT